CAACTAAAGGTGACATAGATACTTTATTATGGTATAGTATTTAAATGTTTGCCTGAGAAACACATAATATTGGCCCTTTAAAAACAAACAATTTTGTTAACGGTAAAATAGCTCTCAAGATGCACCGACTTCTTCTAAAAAGGCYGTTTCTGACGTGTAAAAGTGAAAACATAACGCACCTGGAGTTCAGGCCATGAGGATTTCCGGTTCAGCCAGAAATGAGCAAATGGTGCACTAACAAAGTTTAGTTTTAATACAAAAAAACAAAACAAAAAAAAAATAACACTGGAGTGTTTTACTTTGAAATGGAAAAGTAACCAAACAGGCCCAGAAAATCATTTCAGACCCCACTCATATTCTCCATTCAGAGCATCAGTTTCTTCCTTCAGGTCAGCGTCTCAGAGTTCCCACATGTAGACTGAACCGCTACAAGAACTCATTTGTTCCACTTTCTGTTAAAGCCATAGACTGTAACAAACAGTAAAGGTAATGGTGTTTAAGATTTTAAACTATACTGACATGCTGGAYGGTGTAGCAGTCAGGGTCTGTACCCATGACAAATTTTCTTTGGGACAATAAAGTTAATCTCATCTTAAATGGAAGAATGAACCATACACTGATTCCTTATTCACCTAATATCACAATATAATCACTTCGTAAACTCAGTATATTCTGTATCATGTTTCAGATGTAAATCCTTCATAACTGGGTATATTTTTATGTTCGTATCATTTTAAAGCTAAAATTAAAATCTCTAAATCCTTTTTGTTGGCTTTAAATAACTACAGCACATTTTAAAAAGGCAGTATGTTTAAAAAGGTAGTATCTTTAAAARGGTAGTATCTAGTACGGGCTGTGACTGTTGGTGACTAGTTGGAGAACAGCATACATGAGGAAGTTTCCAGCAAGAATTTGTTTCTCATAATTGTTACAGAGTTGCCACAGACAACTTGAATACCTCAGTTTAGTTTTTAAAATTCAAGAGTGTAGTTTGATATCTGTATGAGAGCTTTACTATAACAAAAAACATTTGAAGCTATAGCCTTAAAGTCTGAAACCATGTTGATGTGAGATAATAAAAATGAATGAACTAGACATGAATATTAAATAATTCATGTCCTAGAACTAGAATACAGATTATACAGCACGTAAAAGCACGTTAATTTGTTTTCTCCAATCTTGGCTGCTCATAAATTACAGCCGTACAACTTGTTGCCACAAATACTCAGAATTCAGTCAGGCTGCAACAGAAACTGATTCTAKTTTCTCTGAATTTTGAGTTGCCAACTAGTTTTTATACAGTCTCAGCTCAGTGAAATACTATCCCAGTAAAACTTTAGCATTCATTGATTGTTGTAAATCCTCTGACCTAAAATGTATCGTTTTAAAAACAACCATCATTTCAAACATGTTAATGTGTTAAAACACATGGCTCAGTCTGTATGTGGCCTTCATGAAACTCTAACATAATAAATTATATAATATTCTAGCTAATAAAAGTCACAAGGCTGTATTTTTGACTACTGTAGTTCTGTCAAATTTCTACTTCTTTTGTTCATAAAAACATTATTTCATCCTCCATACTTACTGTATTTATTTTTATCTTATCTTTATCTTCCTTCTGCCCTTGGGTCCAAAATGACCCTGCAGGTGGGCAAAACTTGTTTAGCAAATGTATTTTTATCATTGTTTCCTCCTTAATTTAGTCTCTCGTATGAGTAAAAATCAAAAATCAGTTGAAAGCTTATTATTTTTTTTAATTTTCACTTTGTGTGTGTGTGTGTGTGTGTGTGTGTGTGTGTGTGTGTGTGTGTGTGNGTGTGTGTGTGTGTGTGTGTGTGTGTGTGTGTGGTCAATGAGATAACAGTAAAAAGTCCTGTGTACTTAAAAAAAATAAATGTTTCAGTGCATAACTCAAATGTTTGTTTAAGCTTTGTGTATGATTACTTGTGAATCTTTGTGTTTTTAAAAGGCAGTTCTGTGTGGGTGTGTGTGCTGAATCACACTTCCTGACATAATTCTGACAACTACTGTAACAGGATGTGAACATATAGTGTATTTCTTTTTTTATGTCATGAACAAAGCAATAAATCAGATACACATATTTTTTTAAGTGGACTTTTATGAAAAGGTTATGAGCAGGTAATATCTTACCTGTTGTAGATACATCTTTGAACAACGCCAGTTTGGAGTAAAACTATTTTAGTTTGACTGGATTAATGAGTTAACAGCTAGTCTGGGTTGGTCCAAGACTAAAAATGATTGTTGCTATCCCAAGACAGCTTCAATCTCCAAAATGTTTTCAATTTTATATTTATGCCAACATTATTGTATAGCTTGGCTTTAAAAAGAGCACAATTCAAGAGGACTCATTCATTTTTACTCTTGTATTAAAGGGGCACATTACGAAGAATTTACTTTTTAAAATTTTATATCATGTGCTAATATCATTTCCTCATCAAAAACATCCCCAGAGTGTTGCTTTGATTCATTCATGCATGTTGGAGAAATCCTTAAATCTCCTGTGGTAGCCTCGTAGAGCTGCCTAAACACTTGTTGGTACAAAACACCGCCTATTACAAAGCTCCTCCCTGGAGCTCAGTCTGCAGCCGAGCTCCCGCCCTACAGAGCACCCCTCCCCTGAAACATTGTTGTGAAGTTGTGCTGAAGTGGGAGTGTCAGAAACGGTAGGTGGTTCTTCAAGAGACAGAGGCCAATTTCACAGAAAAGCTATTAATTGTTGAAAACAATTCCACAGAAACCTACTTTAAAATGTCTAAACTATCTCTTTACAAACACGAATCGTGAAAACCAGACTGTGGATTTACCTAAAGAGCTCCACCTCGTCCTCCCCAAAAGGCCTGGCCTCGTCTTTAGGAAGCATGCTGAGGTAAGCAGCTTTCATGTACACATACATGGCCTGACAGGAAAACATGAATATAAAACACATTCATTATGGAGTTTTATCCATTGATCTCTATTACTGGATTGGACATCACGTGACTTATCGTGCACCACACAGGTGCCATTGCTATGCATTGAGTTTTGACTCGGGAACATCCACGAATGGTGGTAAAAAGGGGATGCAGCAGACAGTCATGCAACGAATATCAAAAAGGGATGCAATATTTTGCCATAAACTGTCAACACTACAACAACAAGATCACAAGATGAAGGATAAAAAACATTTTGATGACCTGTAAAATGTGATTTTACAGGTCATCAAAATATTTTTTATTTTAAATAATGTCAGAGATGCAGAAAGTAGGTCAGTTATGCAGCTTGATTTTGACAACCTTATGTCGGGTAAACCAACGAAAAGACAAATTTGCTGTTCCAACTAATTATTATATTTTTTATTAATATTGTTATTATGTAAGATTGTGAGAGGTACATATAATGGACAACAGTAAAATTACCTTTACTACTACTAGGCTGAACTGTGCAGATATTACTGGTACTGATGTTCTGTCCAGTCAGCATATGATATATCCTGTAGTTTGTGATTATATATCAGAGTAAAAAACTCCGTAACTTTTTTTTCCTCCACCGTATATTTCATAAGCTAAGCGGTGGAGTGGTCGACCGTATTTATTTTATGGCCAGCTGGAAGAATTTGTCTTTAGTCACTTCAGCACGAATGAAGAACCAGGAAACAAATGCAAAATTAGAATTATATATATGTATGACACCCATGACTCTTAGTTTTATGTGACGGAAAGGGACTTCTACTRTAAATACGTTAGCAAAAAACCTATAATGAAAAGTTCCCAGACTGCTTATAGATTTGTCTCTTGAGCAAATACATATTTTTTACATATCACAATATCRACAAATTTTCTCAGCTTTAATTTAAACCATATTTTATAGAAATCGGATRAGAAATGAGGGTGCTATGAATATTTCTGTGACAGATTGACGCGCATCCCACAATGAAACTCTTCCGTTTTGTTGACATGACTCAATGCATAGCAATGGCTCCTATGACAGCGCGTCGCTAGTTATAGTGGCTATAGGTGATGTCCAATCCAGTAATACTGATCAATGGTTTTACCAGTACGAAAACTCTGATCTCCTTTTTGTGTGGCATTTTGTACCTTGGACCAACGGCTCTCCTGGCTCAGTAGATCTGCGTAGAAGTACGCCATCTTCCACGCACGCTTAAAGGTGAAGCACCACATCAGCTCCCAGTAGCACATGTGGTGAAACTGCTTCCACGTCTGCTGGGCTTTGCAGCCATCTTCAAAGAGTGTCACCGCCTGGTAGCCCAATAAAACAGCCCAATTACAAGATTAACTATGACGTCTCAGTGACGTTGTATTTGAACTGTATTAACATGCTCATGTGTAAAGGCTGGTAAAACACAGATATTTCCTAAAACACACCTCATCAATGTTTCCTTTAATCTCCTCAGTTCTTCCAGCAAAGAAGAGAAATATGGCACCCTGGATAGAATGAAAAACGCAAATAAATGCAGTTTTGAGTCATAATTTTCTAATCGATCTACCAAATACACACCAATAACTCTTGGTCATGTTTAACCAAGACTATTCCCTTCTGCTTTAGCACACACTGTGACAGTGTGTTAGGTTTACTCTCTGGGATGGGCTGGCAAGTAGGTAAACGGTGGAGTGGACACAGTGTTAGTGAATTTACAAGAATATGAGTCAGACAGAGTGAAAGAAGAGACGGCATAAAAGTATGCACAAAAAGAAAAAGAACTGCAAGGATCCTGTGTGAAGAGTGTAATTGAAGGTGGAGTGAGGTTTTGGTAGTTCATACATGGATAAATCTTAGTTTGACTTCATGGGAAGGTAATAAATGAGTTTTTTTGTGTGGAAGTGGAAAGTGACATAAAGCAATTTGGAAGGGGAGAATTAAAAAGAAGACAAGAGACCAAACCTAGAAGGAGGAAATGTTAACTTATAGAATAATAACTTGAGTTATCTTGGTTGATAAGCTAATATCTGGCATGCAAACAAACTGGATAAGTTCAATCCATAAAACTGTTTCTGTTTAACATGAGCTAATTTTGTGACAAAATGTTCCCATTTTAAATGCAAACTAGAACATTTGCTTGGATATTATATTGTTTTTGAGGTCATCTTTACTTTATTGCTCCATTTTTAGAGTCCACATTTGTAGAACATTTGATTTACCAAAGCTGGTGAGTTAAGATTTGACATGTTAACAAGGTATATGGCATGTTTAGACAAGAAATTGTTAAGGTTGTTTTAACAAGAACACATTTTGTGACTAAAACGTTTCTATTTTGAATTCTAACTGGAAATTCTGATTAATATAAAGTGTAGTTTGTCAATAATGTTGTACCTTTGCTTCTTAACTTTTTAAAATTAATTCATTCATAAAACAATATAAATAAAAATAATCTATAAAAACAAGACATACAAAAGTAAAACAAACAAACAAACAAAAATCATGAATGAAAAGGAGCAGAAAAAAAGTATAAACTTATATCTGCCCCTATTCACTAAAAATAAAATCAATTCCAAACAAGTCCACTGTCAGCATACAGGAAAAAAAAAAAAAAGAAAAGACAAAAGAACCCCCTGAACACAAAAATACAAACAGTCACCTTAATCAGTTATATAATGCTTCAATATAATAATTTTCAACTCGATTTTAAACACAAATAAAGATTTAGACTGTTTCACCTTACTATCAAGACCATTCCACAATCTAACACCCTTAACTGAAATACATCTTTCCAACAGCACAGTTCTGAAGTTAATTTTGAAGATCTCAATACCTTTTAAATTATTTTTACTCTCCCTTTTAATAAATCTAAGTTGAATATTATTTGGTAACATCATTTTATGTGCAATATAGCATTATAAAGAAGGTTTGTTTTATTTTTCTTTCTGTTTTTGATGATAGCTTGGGCTCCCAGTGAAGAAGACATAATTGTGCTTTCCTGAAAAACCCTGACCTTACAGTTAGTCCATGCAGTTCTGTCCTTATAACTTAAATAAATAAATTAAGACACTTATTTATGCTAGAACCACCGCTGATTTCAATGGTTTWAACCCAGACATGTTCACAGGACTATCACCGATTTGTAACAATTTACCCAAACATTAAACATTCAAACACACTGGAGTAATAAAGTGGTTACCATTTTAGCAGAAGCTAATTTTGTAAGAAAATATTCACTTTAAAATGCTGTATTAAAAGCCATTTGAGCTCTTTCAAACTTTGTTAGATCACATATGTCGAATATAATGTATGTTGTATTACTTAATTCTCTAAATCAAGATTTATTGGAGTTCAGAAAATCAAAACCTCGGATGACTCTTACCCTTGGGTAGCGGAGCCGGAAAGGTTTCAGCAGCCTTTCAGCCTCAGCTACCTCTCCCTCACCAGTTCCTGAGAGGATAAAGCAGAACATGAAACCACACAGAGACCTTTATACAGGGAAATCTTGTAATAAAATCATTGACAGTTTCAGAGATATCCAAAAACCACATGAATTTAGCTGCAGCACTACCAAGTATGAATGTGAGGAAGGTGTGGTAGCAGAGCAGCAGCAGAACACACAACATGGAGCGCAAGTTCATCCCTGTCGCACCATCACAGAGGAGAGACAGACCATATTCCTACAACAAAATGCATAAAAATAAATCAAACAGTCAGTWAGGTGGTAAGTGAAGGTCTGACAGAATAAAATTAAAACATATCAAACCTTGTCTCCTGAAAAGCCTGCAAACTCCAACATTTTTAGTATCCGGGGAGGAAATAGTGATAGTGTCTGAAAAAAGGAAAAAAAAAAAGAAAAAGAAAAAGACTAAATAAACATGGTGCAGACACAATGTATGAATAAAATGTGGTGTAAAACAAGCAGTGATTATAAATTAGTACTGCCTCTGTTCTGAGATTCTACATGAGTGTAATAAAGAACATATCTGATGCAAACCAGGTCTTAAAAAGAGGGGACTACAAAGAGACAATGATCTGACAACATTACAAATAYAGAATAAAACATGGAATCATTGTATGAAAAACCTTACTACTCTGATGTTTCACCGCTTGTGGAACCACCTTCAGCTGCAATAATCTGTAGTAATTGAACTCTTTGACTTTTACAGTTTTTCATACGAAAATGTGTGTGTGTGTGTGTGTGTGTGTGTGTGGGGGGGGTGATATTAGCCCTCTCTTCTTTGATGAAGAAGTTTTGCAGACAAAATTAACAACTTTGTCCTGCCACAGGCTGAGGTCTGAACTTTTATTGGTCCATTCCAACCCCTTGATTCTTTTGGTCCATTCCAACCCCTTGATTCTTTTGGTCCATTCCAACACCTTGATTCTTTTGGTCCATTCCAACACCTTGATTCTTTTGGTCCATTCCAACACCTTGATTCTTTTCCAGCCGTTCTGTTGCAGATTTGCTGCTTAGTTTGGGATCAATGTTTTGTTGCATCAAGACCCAGTTTGGTCCAAGTTTCAGAYGTCGAACATATGGCCTCACATTTGACTTTAGAGCCTTTTGTATTCAGAGAAATTMATGGTCAACTCAAAGACTTCCAATGTGCCCAAATTATGGGGCAGCAAAACGAGCCTAAATCATCAGCCCTCAAAGCATGTTGTTGTKTTTTTCTGTTTATTATGGATAAAACCATTACTTTGGTCTCACCTGTCCAAAACATATTGTTCCAGATGTCTTGCRTTTCAGTCAGATGCAACTTTGCAAATCTAAGTCATGCTGTGATACTAAGAGACAGAAGGCTTCCTCCCCCTGAGCTGGAAACATTAACCTGCTAATGTAAGCCTCTAAATTCTGAGAAGGCCCTCAATGATTTGTTTACGAATCCTCTGAGCATTGCACRATCTGATTGTTCTTATAGTGGTGCTCACACTTATTGATGATTAGCAGCATCCGGCTGATRCTTAACCTGTCAAGTCCTATAAATAAAGGAAGGGGTGGGCTTGGGTTTTCAACACACTGCACTTTGACTTTGTTTTTTTCCTCTATGCATGCAAATATAACATGCTATTGATCAGATGTCGTGTACCATTTAAGCTTGGGAACTGATAAGAACCAGATGATTTGTTTTATAACATWATAATTAGGATACAAAACTTGAAAGAGGTAGGTTGTTAATCATCTCTGTAAACTGTGTGACGTACCAGGTTAAATGCTCCTGCTCCAAATGATATCCCTCCTTCTAAGTGATTGTGGCTCTGTCCTTTGATAAAGTTGTGAGATTTTATGAAGTTATGCAGATCTCTGGATATCAAAGACAGATTTTGAAATCATTTATGTTTGCTTAAAAAAAAGAAATCCTGAAAGTAAAGAATGAAGTAAGGAAGTGCTTTGCACAAAAACTGTTGGGACAAATATCCTGAAATGAACATTAAAGTTACAGTCATATGAAAAAATTTGGGCACCCTTGTTTATTTTCCTGATTTACCTTTATAAATCATTGATTGTTTGGATTAAAAATATCAGTTAAATAAATCATATAGGGGACAAACACAGTGATATTTGAGAAGTGAAATGAAGTGTATATGATTTACAGAAAGTGTGCAATAATTAGTTAAACAAAATTAGGCAGGTGCATAAATTTGGGCACTATAAAAAAAACCTTACCTCAATATTTGGTGGATCCTCCTTTCACAGAAATAACATCCTCTAAACGCTTCCTACAGCTTCTAATGAGAGTCTGGATTGTGGTTGAAGGTATTTTAGACCATTCTTCTTTACATCTCTAGTTCATTCAGGTTTGATGGTTTCTGAGCATGGACAGCTCTCTTTAAGTGACACCACAGATTTTCA